CGGTTTGTACGACGGGTACATACTGCGCAGGTGCCTGCCGTACAGCCTGCTCTGGCACCTGTACTGCAGCCTGTCCTAATATACCGGCCTGCAATCCGTCCTGCGCTGTGCAATGTGAGTGGCAGTGGCCTGCAGCGTGCACTAGCGTAGATTTACGTCACTGGTTGTCAAAAACTAGAAATACCAGAGAAAAACCAGAGCAAGTTATGAAATCAGCAGTAAGAATGCTTTACAGCTCAAAATGTTCCCAAAACCATTTTCTCTGTTGACCAATGTGATTTCTTACACATATTTAATTATCAGATATATACACAAATGATGCGAATATATCAAAATCTATACGTACTAGAGAAAAAAAAACGGTTATGAAATCAGCTACAAAAACGCTTTCCTGCCCACATAAAATGATACCAGAAGTTCAGAACCATTTTAAAATTTATTTCTACTGTAATCAACATTCTATTCAAGTTGGCTGCGCTATATCGGAAAACATGTTATTTTAGCCGCGGTGTTTTCAAATTGTGTCTTGTTGCGTCGGATACACTTGAGAATTAATTATTGTAATCCTGTTAATGACTCCGCGGAAAATGATGTAGATATTATTGTCTGCAAGAAGAATTTAAAGTGCATTACAATATTTAGGAGCCGAACAAAGTATGAGTCATGATGATGAGGCTTAAATGAGTCATGTTCAGCCTTGAAGCGATGTTCAAACGTGTCTGGAATCCCAAACAATATTATAGAAATAATCGCCATTACATTGCATATACTTGCGAGATAAATCATTTTCGCTTCTGCCTTTACATTATAAATTAAGCTGATATCTTGTCTTCAATGTTTACTGCATGTGTCCTCCCGAATTTTTCTCAGAGAACATTTTCCAATAAACTTTTCGTGAGTCTTTTACGCCAATTTCCGGTCTTTATATCACCAGCAACGATCGCTCGCTACACTCCCGTGACGCTAGTCTCTCTGAACAACGCGGCGGGGTCCGATGTCGACTTCACAGGCTACTCCTACAGGGTGACTGCGGGCAATTACCTCGGCATCAGGACTTCAAGTACTACGGTAAGTTTCATTTGTCGTTGGTGTTCTGATTTAATAATATGCTTATCTGTTGGGGGCGAATCAAGCTAACCTAGTTATAAATTTTCCAAAGCATATATTTTTTATTTTAATTTTACGGCGTTTGTTCTTCTACGTGTTATAATTTTACATATTAAGTTATCCATAGTAAAAGATTAGATTAATTAAGTTTTTGGGATTGGGGTGGCCTTTGCTGTCTTATCCCATCCTAATGTCAAAAATACGCAGGAGAAGGATCTAATAAGTATAAACACACTGAAAATATAATTGTTACGCTTGCTTTTATGTCACTTTTTTCGCCAGAGTATTTATACTACTGTGGTTGGTGGGAATGTTACGGGGACAGTGAACCTGAGGGACACACTACTGGACTCAACCGGCGCCGTCATCTCGACTCTAAGCTACAAGTAAAACAAAGTTACCTTCGCCCCTAATACTTTGTCGGTTAATGCATAATAAATAATATCAGATGTAATTAAAAATGACTCATTTATTCTAATGTGATCATTTTGAACGACCATATTATGCTCGATCCCAGGATATTTAGACTGGGCACGAATGATCTCACAGTGGTTTGGCTAGAGCGTTCCTGCTAGACAAGCCATAAACGTCTTGGCAATCGTGATCAAAATCATCCACTTGAATGAAACTCGGCAATTATTAACTGCCCATATTTCCTCTTTAATACCATAGAATTTCTTGTAAAAAATGGGATGGTAGAATTACTATATAAAATTCCCGTCCACTTATAAGTACCTACATAACTTCGAGATCATGACTTCCAGAGTTCGACCTATTCACACCCAACACTCCTGAAAGGAGTTTCAAGGTTTTACTCACGGGCTTTTGAATTCTCATAATATCAAATGGCAGCTACATCACATTCGAAAGTATTGCAGATTTTACTTCAATAAATTAGATTAAAAATCATGTCCAGTGTTACATGGGAAAGACATTTTATTTATTGAATATGATAAACCCATGATGATTTAAATGGGGATTTGGAAAAAGCCGCTAAGGGGCCGTGCTATGAAAACTTGCTTAATGACACATAGTGAACAATTTATCTTCTGTGATTGGTGAGTTTAGGTTGAAAATACATCAGTTATTTGCTGACGAACTCTTTCTAACTGACTTTGAAGTTACAACCCCTGGACTTCTGATGCGTTTGCTTAGAGAATTTATTTGAAGTATCATTTTTTAGGAAAGAAAATAGTAATTTAGCTTTCATCATCGTCAACATGTATATTCATTTTCTAATCTAATCTTTACGCTTTTTTTTAACGCTCAAATTTTAACCTTGATTTTGATCTTATGCAGTAAAGAAATTTTATTGCTCCTGCAGACTCATAACTCAAAAATTAATGTGTAATTTTCCGCAGTAATTTTAATAATTTTACTCCCTCAAAACTGCAGGTAAGCGATAATAGAATCAGAATGTCGACTACCTTTGTCCAAATACAGTTTAAAGCCACTCTAGCGATTTATTCAGCGCAATATATTATTCTAAACCATCTTTCTAAGCCTTTTTAGAAGTTCAAAAATTACTTCATAGTTTGTGTTGCGTCTGAAAACAATTGGGTCCTTGAAGGCTGCTTCCTTTATTTACTTTATCTACTTTGCATCGCTTTGTATTCTTATGGGGCCTCCAGTGACTAGGCTTTTGGATACGACTGGTCTAATCATAGGAAAATATAGCAGAGAATTCTTATTCTTCTTCTTATATTTTCAATATAATGAAATTATTTATTACGTTCAAAAGTCCCAAGTGTACAAAAAACTTACATTGCCAGCAAAATATTATGTTCCATTAATAAATCTCAAATAAATGAGTTCTGCACAATATAATTAATAAATTCTAACATGAATCATTACACTTAATTAGAAATTTTGTTACCACTTGAATGCCGTAAATCTTCTAATTCAATTTTCAATACCATCTAATCGAGTGTTATTCTCACCTCAATAAACCTGACGTGAGGTTGTCAGGCAATATATCACCAGCCTGCGACTAAATCTCAACATGCTGAAAAAAAATCTCAACATGTAAATCTCAACTTCTCGTGTCGCAGATCGCGAGCTCGTTGCACGGCGTCACGGTAGCCAACACTTCTTCGCCGCTCTGTCAGAAAGCATTTATGTGATCTTGTCATGAAATACGAGTGAATCAAGATAATTAATTTAAATGCATAAAGTTTCCCGTAATGAATCTTGAATGTTACTTCTCAATCATTCTGATAGCGCTTCTTTGCTTTTTTGACGATAACTTTTGCAAGTAGGTGATTGAGTAAGCACATAATTGCTAAGTTAACATATACCCGAAAAAAGTGGAAAATTTCCACTTTGTCTGAAACTTGAAAACTGACTTAAAGTTTATACAACTGAAGTGTGCCCTTCTCAGAAACATTGCTTACGATTTTCAGTAAATTTGTCTTTCATAACTAAATATTACGAATTTTTTGTGAACAGGGATCGCCCATATTCGCTACCATGATTGTCGACAGCACTTCTCTCTACACCTACCACGAAAGTGAGAGTCCTATAAGATCACTTTTATTGATCACAACTACATGCGTACACTACACTATTCTATGTCTTTTCTTTCGGCATGCTGCATAAAGATAATATTATTATGAAGCTGCTCTTCCCTAGAATATTTCTAGATATCAGTACGCTACGTGTTTCAGATGCAATAGAACTAAATACTAGTTTTATGAGCATTTATTTATATAGAAGACAGCAAATGGTGATTAAATGTAAAACGCTTTCAACCAAAGACCAATCATGAAAATAATCCTCACCATAGTCACCGAGTTTAAAGATGAATTTATTATAATTATTCTAGCGTTGTAAAGAATTATCTATGTTCTGACTGTATATCACTCTATATTAAGTAAATCCGATCATCGACCAGGGGTTGTTAAAACAGTTTTCTGTTCTTGTACGAGTTTGAATTTGAGTTCTGTTCAATATGACTTCAAGACTAACATCTCGTAAGGTTTTCCCTATCATCACAGGTAAGACGCAATATTGATGTGAATGCCTCTACTCAAACATGATTATTTTACACCAAAAAGTAATGGACATTTGAAATTAATTCGTTTAAGCGCCTCGCTGGAAATCAGATGACGACTAGATAAATGGTATTGAACGCCTATTTATTTACATTATTGACGTGAGACAAAGAACCATGAGGGTCTAAAACGTATTTTTTAAGCTAAAATTTTAACTCATCTTATATAGTTATATTGATAACCTAAGATATAAATAGTTCATATTTTCAGGCGGAAATTACAGAACCGTATAAAACTTTTCAGCTTTCCCTCCAAACTCATATAAAAAATTAAGAATCGAAAATTTAAAAATTTACCATTGAAAATGTCATCTGAAGTCGAAGTAATGACGTTTTCCACCCTCTTATTCCTAACAATGGAACGGGAACCAAAAAATTTTCTCATACTATTCATATTGTAAAATCACTGAGCAAACAATGCTTTGTTCTTCGTCATCGATCTAAAAGAAACAAATTCGGGACCAAATGTAGGCCCTATGTATTGCTGCAGTTAATCGCGCTGTGTTACTACACGACTTGACATTTCCTTCGATCTTAAACGTCTTATTTAAAGTAAAAGGCCCACTTATTTACCGAGGATCATTTATACAACCTACTGAAATAAAGGCTTGTTCAAAAGTGAAGAAATACATGCCATTAATAGCAAATTAATTCAGGAAATTCAAGCTCTAAGGAATAAAAATGTATTTATCCCCGTAAAAATTTTTTCAGACGCTGAGACTTCACCCTTCAACTGGACGGTTCCATTGAACTACGCATTAGAGGGCGCATACACCATCACAGGCTACGCCAAGAATCTTTTGGGAAACGTAATAGAACTTTTTCCGTTTTGATGTTTTTGATGAGCGTAAATCATTAAAGTGACTAGTTTAGGAATATTTCGCTATTGGCAAAATAACATCGTCCGAACTTTGGCCCTGCTAAATAATTTGTTGAAAAATCTTGGAATTTCCCAATCAACAAGCCTAATATTTCACTATGGAAAGAAAATAACGAATAGACTCGTGATCTTCTTCTTCAAATTAACGATGTCAATGCCTATAACGAATCTATGTAACATTGCCACTACTGCACTACATATTATTAGTATTTAACTAGCCAAGTTGATAGTCAAGATCAAAAAAATAATTCTTCATAATACAATGTAAATTAACATGCAAACAATTTTCTAGGTGACATTTTCGACGCTGGTGCACGTGGTACCTGAGGTGACGAATACATGGGTAGCAACCGTGAGCTGTCCATGCTACAACATCGAGCCTTTCTTCACGGTGAACCTAACCTTCCCAAGTGCAGCTCATCCTCCATGGAATCTCACCGTAGAAATTGCCTACGAAGCGAACATTACCGGTTCTACCTACCTCAGCGACATCTTTGTTGGTGAGATAGAAAATATATTCTATATCTCTAGAACAATTTCAAATCGTAATACTGAAACTCCTCCATTGATCCTTCCTCCTATGATGTCAAACCCTCAAACTGTCGATTGAATTGAAATTATAATTAACAGTTTTAGAACATTTAATGTACAATTTTACTTGCTTCAGATAATTTTCTAGCCTTGAAGATGCATAACATAATAAACAAGGTATTATAGTAATGCCTTATTTTGTCTTATTCTAGAGAATAGTGTTATCATAATTTCACTCCGTATGATTCGTGCCTCTGCTATACAGAAAGATATAAAGATCGTAAACTAAACGGAGCAATCAATAAAAAATCGATATGCAAAATACCTGAATACAAAATATTTTCCAAAAGCAATTCAATGATTCAAAAATCCCCATATGTAAAACACAAGAAGTTGACGTTACCATTAATGAGGAAAATATTCAAGTGCATTTTACTCTCTTGTAAATTCTTTATTTATTTGCTCTTTAAGCAATTAAATGATCATAGGAATTTCAATTTTTTATAATTATTGATAATTATTTTCAATAAAACTGGATTAAATTATTTTCAAATTAACTGGAGCAATTGACGAATATCTCAGCGCCTCGGGTGGAAACCTTCGGCACATTCGACGGCGCCTCCCCAGGCGGGGCCAGCGGTGCCCCCAAGGAGCTAAAGCTGGGTTACTTGCTGCAGCCAACACGCGGCGGCAACTACACTCTGCACGTCAAACTTTCCAACGAAGTGTCCAACTCGTCGCTCAACCCTGTACAGGTGAGGTCGTTCGATTAGAAATAGGCTGTGCTTTTTTGCATTTAGTAGCTCATTTGACATTTGCATGCCTGAACGAGAATTTTTTATATTATTTACTAGTAGTGAGGCATGAGTTTGTAGCAGTAATCCTACCAAGGCATGTAGAGTCGTAGCCAATTATAGCTTGCAGCGATATCTTCAGTCATCTGATCACATGATGAAGCCAAGATGATTCATGCCGTGATTACTGCTGCAAAACTTATCCAAGTCACGCTTGGATTCATGTTCAAGAACCCAAATTCATGGAATTTATAGGTACCTAAATTCTGCTTTCAATTTTCTCTCTTTTGCATTTACTTGCACTGAAATGTCGTTTTGCTCCACAGATCCAGGTAATGGAAGGTATTCGGGACGTGAGAGGAGTGGTCACGTGGGTAATGAACGGGATAGAACTACCTGGTACCGGGCCAGCTAAGGACATCTATGTTGCGAACTTGACAACCCTGGTCACTCCGAGCACCTTGACAGGTATGCATACTCAGCCATACTGTGTATATAGCCGACATATAGCCGTCCTTGAGCATGTTGACTGGTATGTGATTCTAGTGGAGTGCTACCATGTTATTTCTAACACGTGTATTGTCTCGAAAATGAGAGAGAGAAGAATGTCTCTCCAAATAAAAATGGAGAATGGATTGTTTTTTTCAGAATAATACTGGTTTAAGGTCATATTTCCGGTTCCATTAAAATTGCTTATTTTTCCCACTAATTTTTCATGCACAAAAATTAGTATGACTTCAAGTTGAGTGTTGAATCCGTTAACAAATTTAAGTTTATTCATCATTAGGGTACATATTAATACACGTTCATATTTCCAAATTCATTTACAGTTTATTGATAAGTTGATCTCACTTTTTACACGTATTTGTGTAATATTAAAAACAATGATTTATCACATAAATGAACAATGATTTAATTGAAACAATGATTGAAAAACAATTATTTATCCTAATTTAAAGAGAAGAAAAATTAGGAGCATATTTTTCCATAGGTACGCCTCTGCAGTGGCGACTTTACATTTTACCAACCAAGCAGGAGCAAATCGTTGACTACGTTCCTGGCTATAAATTCAACCTCACCTACCCTGCGGTAAGTAGAACCTACTCTTGCATTACCCTGCTCTTATAAAATTCGGTAAGATCCCAAGCGACTTGAAAGTTTAAGTAGATTGGTTAGGAGTGATTTTTTATAATTCATTCATGATAATAAAACCAACGTGGATGCGAAGTAGCATTTTTAGTGACTTATGAAGTCCGGAGGAAAACTAAATATTGCAGGTACATTAAATGGCACAATAATTCTGATAAATCTTGAATGTTACGTTACAAAAAGTTACTGCAGAGACGAATGAAGGGGTAATTCCAGCTTCAGTTTATCGAATGAAATTATTTCCAAAACTGTTTCAAATATAATAATTCTGAAAGCTTTCAAATGATTCGAAAAAACAGAGTCCTCGAGGGACATCACTCTAAATTGGTTGAACTGTTTTTTGTATGGAATCGCGTTGGAATTGATATAATTTAAGAAAGTAATTTTAATGACTGAAGAGAGTTAATGAATCTTCAATAAATATGTTGAAGAAAGCCCGCAGAGGAGAACAATATTATTTGCCCTTTACTCGTAAAAATAAAATATTTAGTATTAGTCATATTCATCATTCGTCATTTATACAACCTGGTACGCGTCTATTTAGTAACGAATGCTAATTATTTTTCGGAATTTTTATGACCATTTCCAACAATTGCTAAAATTGTGAATTGTGTGTGCTCTATCATTGAAATTTACATTTAATGCATGTACATTTAGCATATACATACATATATTTAATTTGGTTAAGAATAATCACATTAAAAATATATGAAATTTATTCAGAAATAATGCATCCTAGGTGGGGCCAGTAACGTTCATCGTGGGCGCGTACAACACCAAGCAAGGCTGGGTGACGGGACCACCCATTAACGTCACATTTGTTGACAAAATCGCTGGGTTCTCTTTATCCGACGACGGAGCGCTGGGATCAGTGGTGAGTAGAACGTTACGTAGCACAGATATTTCGTTAATATACATAAGTAAGCAGTTATATAATTATCAATACAACACTGACAATTTTACAATACAATACATATAATACAGACTAATACAATACAATGCAATACAATTTAAGACTAATTGCTACTTCTGTACCGTATGTACAAAGTTAAATTATCAGTACAATACTGACTATTGCACAATACAAAACATATAATACAGACTAATACAATCCAATTTTACAGAATAAACGCTACGTCTGTTCTTTTATTTTTCATTTGATAAACTATAGTGGCAACGAAAAATATTAGAAAAATATATTTATTATTTCTCTGCTAACATCGGATAAATTATTATCCGGGTATTCTCGCCATTTGCATGGAATGCTTTTGACTATATAGGGTTAAGACATCCAACATAATGTATTGAGATATCAGAAAATTATGTTTACTGTATTAGTTGAGTCACGGCTGGGTGACCGCTATATCCACATTTATACTATAGGTCAGGTTTTGACCTTTTTCCAGTTAATCATATTATTTTGATAATCCTTAGTCATTCGTAAATATCTCTCCATCAACAATAAGTATATAATTCTGACAAGAAGATTAGTTGGTGATTAGAAGAAATAGAGAATATGACATACATCATAGATTAAGTTAGTTATGTTTTCACTGGTATCATCATGTTATCTATTATTATTTCATAAATATAATATGATCAGGCTAGGTGACGAATTTCATAACCCTGCTTCCGGCTCTGATTACTATTAATTCGTAACAGAATGTGTCGAAACCGGTGATCTCAAACTTTGAGATCCTTACCCCGATTTCTTGCCTGATGATCAACTGGGGGGATAACTCAACAGAAGAAACCTACGGAGACCAAGCCACGTGTTGGATGGGGTTCCCGGAACTCCCCTTCAGAGGAACTATCACCTCAAATCAGATCTTGAACCATACTTACATGTACGTAACCTTAATTTTGAGGCTTAATACATTTTTAGTGTCTGCTTAATCTCTTTAATAACATTGAGTCTCTGCAAAAACTGTATTTTTTTTTAATTTATGGTTCACAAATGCACTTTAAAATTGAAAAAACATTGCTTAAGGATAGAAAAACTACTTAGCGTGCAGGCAGTATGGATATCTTAATGTCCCACGATGATCATTGTTTAACTATATAATAAGCATTTCAAATATTATTTTTTCAGCGTTGGATCTGCCACTATAGTTTATCAAATGATCATAAAAAGCACCAAAATCATGAAGAATAGATATTCCATAAGTAAATTTGTATACAAACCTTTTTTGAAAAAACGATATCGTAATTTTCGTTCGAACTTTAGTCAAAATCTCATCAAAGAGCGCGTTTACCTGTAGTTCTCGACTGACAAAAAAAACTGCATACTGTTAACCGCTATTTTGAAACTATATAAGTTTCACGGTCTGTGATGATATTTCAATAACTTAATCTCAGAATGATCGTAGGCGATAGCCCATCTACGCTTAACTCCTATCAAAAATGAGCCAAACCCATGAGCAGTTCATCGATTTCTTTGGCCTCATGATCGAGTGATGAGCAACAACTTACTCACGCTTACCTTTCATCGTAATTTTAATTGCAGGCAGGAAGGCATCTTCACGGTATCGGGGCTCGCCTATGACCTAAGTCTAAACGCACTGACGTCTCAGCTGGTTGTGGTGGTGGCTGACATCCCCTGCAAGATGCCCAACGTGAGCATCGCGGACTCAGTAAAGCAGGTGTACAACGCGCCAACACAGATCAAAAGTCTCCCTATACGGGTCCAGTCGAACACCATCATCGAATGCAACAGGACCGTCACTGTAAAGTTAGTGCACAGTTAAACGGACCTAAATCATCAGTTATCTTTAACTTATGAGTCCAACTGGACATGTTCCTAGAAAAACCGAACGTTTTGACAATGCGCGTGCTTTTTTATGTTGCTAGACGCTTTCGCGACTTGCAAGCAATAGAAGAGACAGTTGAAAACGTATCGCAATAACTTTTTTTTATTTCTGCCGATCGTCGGACAAAGTTTTTAGTTATTTTTGATAAATACGGCATAATATAGAGTAGTATATAAGCACCTACTACTATATTAAGGCAAATGTCTCGAATCTAATATTTATTGAGGATGTGCAAAAAAGTTAATTAGAGTATTTATATTTTTCAGACGATACTGGACTGTAACAATGGTCAACGGCACAACAGGCCAGGCGTTAGCAGAGAAGCCGATAGAGGGAATTGTTAGCTCTTGGAATTACACGACACTTATTCTGGATGCTCTCTTTCTAGACATCGGCTTCTACAAATTCACATACACTGTCGATATTCAGGCCAGCAAGATAGTGTCGCTCGTGAGGAGTGACTTCACGTACTACCAGGTCATTCGGGTAAGTAATACCTTTCTAACTCACCTATATGTCAATCTCGAATGATGGTTTCCTTGCTCACAGATTCAGGTAATCTGAGTGAGTTATGGTGTTCCAACATTTACCTGTCTCGGTCACAATCTAATTTGCTTTATCAGAGCATGCATGCAAGCGAAGGAATATTTGCTCATTCGATATTTTTACCAGGTTGACAGATTCCGCTACTCCCGTTTGAAGTTTGGTGAAATGGCCACTTTTACAATATATAAGTAATAAATTTCAACAAACGAATAGACACAATTACAAAAGTATTCTTCTGATTATTCATAAACTAAGACCTAATCATCGCTCTCTGAAATGAGACTTGACCGGTATAAAACGCATTCATCATCTTGTCAAATCAAACGATAAGGTGACGGTGTGAGACATATTCCAGATCGCTCAGTTCTGAAAGTTTTGGAAGATTTTTAATATCAATCGCAAATGGTTAAAGCGTAGAAGAAGCTTTTGACAAATTCTACAATAATATCATTACTTATTTAATTTGAATTTAAATACGTTACGCAGAGTAACCTGAGCGCCAGCATTCTTCCTGGTGGCATCACGAGCACGAGTCGCGCGTTCATGCAGAGCCTCGACCTCAAACCCGGCACGGAGAGCGTCGACCCCGACGAGCCCGGCGTGCCGGTCAGCCATTCTATGATCATTGATTCAGTTAGGGACTTGGTAACAATTTAACCAGATTATGGCTTAGATTTTACGTGTTTCTCAATTCGGTTTGGGACTGGTTATCGATTTAACTAGACTATGATTGAAAATTTACGTGTTTTTCAATTCGGATTGAGACTGGGTTAGGTTAGGTTAGGTTAGGTAAGGCTAGGTTAGGTTTGGTTAGATTATTCCATATTCCAACAATATGGTTTATAAAGTTATTTTATTTATCTGTATCTAGATTTCGTTGAAAATAATCATTTAGATTTCAATATTTTCTTTTCAAAATGTTCATGTATTTCATGCACCTATATAAATGCTATAGCTTCGAAGGTGATTTCTCTCGTAGGTTTAAATTTGAGCTATAGCTCAAATTTTAAGAACATCTTTTTTCAGTACAGATTCTGTTGTTCTATTACGAAGAATGCTAATTCAGTACTTAATCTATATATTGTCGAAATTATCTATGTAAGATTGTTATGTCGTGCCAAAATTTCAAATCATTGGCCCGTGGTGACCTGACGGACATCCTTGCTACCTTAAAGAAATTATGGTTGGTTTGCAGTTCACGAACGTAAAATGGTATTGCCGACAAGTGCTGCCGTCTGCGGAAAAACTTCAGGTGGATGCGAACAACTTTCCCCTTCCAGTCAACACGCAGCCCATCCCAGACCCCAAGACGGCAGTCGGCAAAACTGGCGGAGGATGCTTCGGCGTGGGCCCTGGTAGGTGACCGTGGGCGAGCTTCAGGGTGCTGGTGGACTACGTCTCTATCACTGTATCAGTCATACAAATTGATATCATTTCCTAACAAAAGGGGAAAAAATTTTTACAGTATATGTACCGTATAGTCGGTGTATGTTTCATAGTGTATGTGCACCGTGTAGTCTATGTATGTTTCATAGTATATGTACCGTGTAGTCGGTGTATGTTTCATAGTGTATGTGCACCGTGTAGTCTATGTATGTTTCATAGTATATGTACCGTGTAGTCCGTGTAGTCCGTGTATGTTCCACAGTGTCATGAGCTCCCGAGATTGTGTGCATGTGGTAGAGCGCTGACAAGTACGTATCACGGTCGATTATGGCAGCTATCAATTCTGTCAGGATAGTTTCTCTCATCGGAAAAAAATAACAGAGTTGATGGTTTTGGGTTTAATTTATTCTACAATTATACCTTACTGTAATAATCTCTGATAACCCGACACCTATCGCAAAAAAACGTGTCAGAATAAATTTGTTGGTATGCACGATGAATACAACAATTTATTTTAAAGCTTGACGACTAAGTTCGAAGGAACAAGCTACCCTAAGTAACAATAAAAATACTTTGCTCGTGCAGGCATGCTTTCTTACAATGGTTCGATGCTGAGCTTCCAGGTTTCTTCATTTTATCTGGCCGACGCAACGTTCGAGTTCACGGTTGTCGTACAGAAGGATGAGAGACGCGCTGCAGCCACTCTAGAGATCAAAGTGGTGGCTCAACCGCCTCCTGAGGTGGCCATCAGGCAAGTGACATTCGTTCCGTTTAATCGAAATAAACGAAATTTCCATTCAGCTAAATGTACGTATTCCAGATACTTAGTTCAGTACATGATAACTATACCATTTAGAAATAAGAATAAAATGAATATTCTGGTCAATATTAAAATATCTTGGAATTTATAATCATTTTGAGCAGTAATTTTATGATAAAAATATAAGTTCGGTGGGTCGATGTTTTTGGTACTATGGAGCTGAAAATAAATAACAAATAACGGTTATGCGGGACTAATTTCTTTACTTGCATCAAGTAAAAGCGTAGGAGAAGACTCGAAGAACCACATGACAAATCATTTTACAGAACAATCGCATCGTATAATTATTCATGTCGTCGCTAACGGAGACTGTATTAAACTGACATTAACCTTCATAAGATTCTTAACAATTTTTTGTTAAACCTCAATGATTGCCTTTTTGGATCCAATTGCCTTATAATGGATCCAATAGCCTAAATGGACCAACACATCGCTTTATGGATATGGCATACTAGTGGTCTATATATATCCTTTAGTAAGGAAGTATATAACTGAGCCGTCTCAAAATGATTCCTTTAATGCGCGTCAGAAGTTGACGAGTTCGATTTGAGCTGTATTATTTAATATTTCGTAACAGCAATTCTTACATATTGCAAAATAATTTCTTATAATTATTTGTCTTTAAGCTATAAAATGCCTCAAGAAGTGTGCAATGCCACTAGGGAAGTGAGTAAAATATGAGAGGCGGCACAAAATTGCCATAAAATATGAGAAAATGAAGAGACAGTATGACACGAAAACAGGTGCATTGCGTATAATTGTGTTGTGGGTTGAGGAGGAGGAGGAGGACCCGACAGGACTTTAATTAAATTCAATGGAGAATACCATGGTCCGATGGATAAAAAAATTTACAATGTAGCCGAAAATGTTTCCTATACAGAACACATCCTAACTATTGCCGTGACAAGTCAATCCGTCGAGGATATCATTTGAAAGAATATTTCCTATTGACGCTTCTACCATACGAGTTTCTTGTATGTCATCATACGAGATAAGTGCACCAGATACCATTTTTGTACATTGAAGGTCTTTTCAATTATTTTTTTCATTGCAATTTTATACGACGTTTTTAAAAATGTATATTATTTTTTTAGTTTTATTTTACTCGACGTTGCTCAGTATATTCCACTGGTTGCAGATGTTCTGTGCCAAGTCTCTGCCTGATGCAGAGCGATGGTCAACTAGTGAACCCAGCGGTGCCTCTCACTCTTGTGGGCAACTGTACCAACTATTGCACGACTACTCGCTACTACAGTTGGGAAGTCAAGAAACAGTTCGTATAATTATTTATAGACAAGCTTTGAAAATAGCGTAATCACCACTATCTGCAATACGTATTTATAATTTTTTATGTGATTTCATATCTTGATTCCTTCAAGTGATTTCTGATGTAAACTAAATCTCGATTCTTCCCTATAATGCGCAACTATATATATTCAAGCGGGTTTATCCCAAATTATAGATAATAAACTATTTTCAAAGTTTCTGAGCATTCCTAAGCCTTTTCACGAAGAAATGCTTTACGAATGCTTTTACTTGCATAGCTGTATTCTTTTGTGTATGCTAAGAGTAGCTTCACCATTTCCTCTGTTAAATATAAAGGCCTCTGATCATCATTTCCGATTTCAAATGTTAATCTTCGAAGTCGGGGACAGTGAGATCGTAGACATGCACCCTCTTCATTATTGGCAATTCAACTTTCTCGATTCGAAGAGTCATTCCTATATACATTGTTTCTGTTAGCATTACATCAGTCGTTTCTGTTAGCATCACCGCTGGCTTTTCCTTGGGCCCCAGGTATAAAATTTCTGATAATTGCATTGTTTCATTCAATTCGTATTCCGAATCATAAACATTGAGTGCGAACGAAAGATTAACTGACGAATGTATGATCGGTATTCGAGGTTCAACATTTTAAGTTCATGGTGAAATAAAAGTTTGATCGACTTTTCTAGCGTTTGAAAACCGAGTTACCACTGTATCTGCGCACCGATGATCAATGAATTGTCTTCCAAAATAAATACATGAGCTTGTACTTAAGTTACCATTTTCTATTTCCATATGTTTTAATTTACTAACTTCAAAACTCACACGAATTTATCGCGTCTGACACAGAAACGGCGATTACATTGTCATCGATCAGCCGAACTGTGACTCGACCAAGACCAGCTGCTTGCAAAGTGAGTACGGTTTAGAGTTCGTTGTTGCTGTAATAGCCCATTCTGGCAGTGGCGACTAGGGAGGTGGGGTGATAGGTCAGTTTTTCCGGGCCCTCGGTGCCACTGGTAGTTCCACGACCATCACTGGCTCGCTGACCCGCCAGAACCATTTGGTTGCATTACACAACACCCTGGACAAGCCAGGTACTCATTTATCAACCAGAGTTGGATGAATGGCTGAGTTGACCATGAGCTGAGCTTCCCGGTAGAACTTGTCCTCAGTGGGACTCGAACCCGGGCGCTGGGTGCGAGACAGTCTCTATCACCACTGCACCACACAGCTAGTTTCGTCGTTTCGTAATAGCAATAGAGTTCGTCGAATGTGATTGCTATTAGTCTTATCCCTTGGTTATTTTTTTTAATGTTTTTAAATATGTACTTTCATAACTAGTATCTTCTAACTTTATTACTAAGAAATTTGTATCACGTGAGGAAGTATTTTCGTTAATTGTGAATGAGGAAACGAACGCGTGTTACAAGAAATACCTGCACCTTTTTCTGTAGTATTTTAACTTGTTTATTAAAATTATATTTTAATGTCTAAAATTTTTTAGGAATCAATATAAATAGATTTTATAGAACACACTTGCACGTTATGTAGCAGTTTATTAGCATCTCACTAGCAACTTAATTTGTCCATTAAAATGAAGTAGTTTTAAAAATTTAAGATCAGCAAATTCATATATTGTTGGGGAGATTTCCTTCATATAGCATTTGTGTGATTGTACACAGTTAATACGAACATTTGGAGGGAATATTTTTTAATTTGATGAATATAATTAGAAACAGTGCAAGTAAGTACCTTCGTATATGCAAATAATTTTGATTTATATGAGTATTCGAGCACATCCTATAAGGAAACCTACTTTATCAATAATATTCGTTTAATACTTTAAATAATACTTTAAAAAATTATTAGTAATATTGAAAATTAATAATAACATTAATAATAATATCTAAATTAATTTTATTAATAAAATATTAATATTTGAGTACCATGTCGAGGAGAGGTAGTTTCGTTTATTGTAGGAATTTTTTATTACTAATGCCACTTTTCCTTTTCTAAAGGAGCGTAGGAACAGGCAGCATTAGGGGCAGTGAAATAAAGAATTTTCCCACCAGAACATTGCTATTTGCTAAGCAATGAAAGCATGCAAGCATTATCAGAAATCAAATATTTAACTCGGACAAAGCAAAGCAGAAGCGGGAAATAGTATTGTAATCTTTTCCAAAGCCTTACTCATACCACATTATGAAAATTCCATTGATTTTCGAACACTAAGAGTAGCTACCACATGCGCTAATTACAAGTCATGGCGTAAATCTCGGCGCTGCAGTGTTGGCCTGATGTGGCCTGTCGCCGATTCTTTTCCTTTTCGTGCCTTGTTCACAGAAGATCTAAAATCGTGTCATTTGACCGGATCTTTTCACGACTGACGAAAGTTTGAAAAAGCTACTCGACTTCCACCGGGTTCGATATGGTGCTAGGCATTTCAAATCCGAACTAGTCTGTTCTTGAACGCGTTCATCTTGGAGCGCCAACGATGTCATCGGGGAGGCTGTTCCACATGTCGGTGATTCGAAGCGAGAAGAAATTTTGTCGCGTGGAGAAGTTGCAGCGCAGTTATTTTAGTTTATAGTCGTGGCCCCTGGTCTTGGTCCTTGTTTCAAGTTCTTGTAGTCCTTCGGGGACCTTGTGTCTTGAGGTATAAATAAGACATGTTTTACTACTTGTAAAACGTTGCCACCAAAAAACGTTTATTTAGCTATTAAACCTCACGGAAAAATACTTGATCATATATCGCTTGGTAATTTTTTCTTCTATTGCTCTTACCAAATTGTTGAGAGGAAACCGGGACAAGATTCCATCGCGAGATTGTTCCTGCGCGCCAGAAACCCAAGCATTATCAGACATCAAATAATTAACTCGGACAAAGCAAAGCAGAAGCGGGAAATAGTATTGTAATCTTTTCCAAAGCCTTACTCATACCACATTATGAAAATTCCATTGATTTTCGAACACTAAGAGTAGCTACCACATGCGCTAATTACAAGTCATGGCGTAAATCTCGGCGCTGCAGTGTTGGCCTGATGTGGCCTGTCGCCGATTCTTTTCCTTTTCGTGCCTTGTTCACAGAAGATCTGAAATCGTGTCATTTGACCGGATCTTTTCACGACTGACGAAAGTTTGAAAAAGCTACTCGACTTCCACCGGGTTCGATATGGTGCTAGGCATTTCAAATCCGAACTAGTCTGTTCTTGAACGCGTTCATCTTGGAGCGCCAACGATGTCATCGGGGAGGCTGTTCCACATGTCGGTGATTCGAAGCGAGAAGAAATGTTGGCGCGTGGAGAAGTTGCAGCGCAGTTATTTTAGTTTATAGTCGTGGCCCCTGGTCTTGGTCCTTGTTTCAAGTTCTTGTAGTCCTTCGGGGACCTTGTGTCTTGAGGTATAAATAAGACATGTTTTACTACTTGTAAAACGTTGCCGCCAAAAAACGTTTATTTAGCTATTAAACCTCACGGAAAAATACTTGATCATATATCATACATTTCACTTGGTAATTTTTTCTTCTATTGCTCTTACCAAATTGTTGAGAGGAAACCGGGACAAGATTCCATCGCGAGATTGTTCCTGCGCGCCAGAAACCCGCGATCCGGCAAAAATCCTCGGATTATTCTTCTAATTAATATTTATTAGAAACTCGTAATGACGTAAAGCCGCGGAAAGTGAAGCAAGATGTAGCTAAGGATAAATGCATGTAAACTGAAACAGAGAGTACTCGAAAGTGGATTGTTTCATCTCTTTGTATTTCATCTATCTTTCGATAGCTGAGGCTCATTTTCAAGAGCGAGTCTCCAGACTTGGATTTTCTCCATCAACCTCCAGACTTGGATTTCAAAGCTTGGATTTCAAATTGTATCCAAAATACCCTTGATTTGTACTACTGTCATTTCCAAAGTTTAATTTCAAGTGTTGCAAAACATTCACCTGCTTGATAATGAAAAATGAATTTTCAAAACGTCACAATCCATTAAAATGTCATTTGGTAACCTGCTTTTTGATCTCCCGGCGCCAACAATAAATTTTGTTGGACTCATTGACAAAACGAATAAGATTATTAATAAAAAGCATGTCTTTAACTGAACTTGCATAAAAGAAAAGCTTCTGTCGAACTGCACCAATCTTTCTGTATTGCGTCAAAATGTGCTCGTTTACTATAAAAATCGCCAGGTTAATTTTTGGAAGAGAAATATGGGCACTGTAACGAAAAATGTTTGCATCCATTAAGTAAAAGTGATTTATGCATTATGAAATATACTTTTTTAAGTCCAGCAGAATGGGTACTCTAAACCGAGACCAGGGTTACTCTAAAAACACCAATTTTGAGTGATGTATTTCATGATTTCAAGTTATTTTTCAAGTAGATATTTTGTATTGCTTTCAACAATCAACATGTTTGCAGGTTTCGACTCGGGAACCGACGGTGTGACGGTCAGTATCTCCCCTTCCATGTTTGTGCTGAATCCACTCTCAGAACAGTTCACCGTTCGCCTCACCATCATCACCTCCGACAACCGAATCGGGTAAATCACCTTGCAGATACAAATTATATTAGAGCGCCAAGCTTATATACTCGTCGAAAACCCTAAGCTTTATTATGCCTGCATTTAATAATGCTAAAGCAAAGTGGCAGTTTTGCGTATGTGGAGCCTGTGACGTTCTAGCTTCTCATGTCCGAGTGATCGGTGACCTGATAGCCTATGATGAGATGCCTTGAGGTAACGGGCTTGAACTTATATGAAAAGTTCCTTCTGCGTCTCATTCCGTATATTGAGAATTAGCCTGCGACAGAGAATAGGCACGTGGGGCTGAACTTAAAAAAATACATAAGATGGAATTATATAAATGCTTGCATTAGATCATTTATTTCATATGATATTTTTCGCCCTACGGTTCGTCTTATACCTGATTAGTGAGTTACCCAATTATTATTTTCATGCTATATTTTTACTTATTTATTGATTACTGCAAATTGTTTTTACATGAGTTCCAACTTGAAGAGTTGTTCCACTGTTTCAGTATCAAATTGAAGTAACTGTCACTAAGTAAACAACTGCTTCATATTACTGCATTTTTCGATTTATTAATTAGACAAAATATTTATCATAATATAACAGTTAAATTCAGAAACAGGCTATTAACTGCACTGCGGCTTGAAACACATTAAAATTTTCTTCATTTTCTTACAGATTCTCTCAAATCTCGATTAAGAAAAATAAACCCCCCATCGGCGGCAACTGCACCATTTCATCCGACAACGGCTATTACTGTCTCATGTCAAAATTCATGATATCGTGCGATAAGTGGCAAGACCCTGAGGGGATAGGAATCGCCGCCTACAATTTCTACTATTTGGAACACACAATTGAAGGGAAGACCGTCAAAGCAGCAATGGCCAGTACTCAGCAGATCAGCTTGTCTGCAGTTCTACCCTACGGAAATTTCAGCCTGTACGTTGAAGTCTCTGACTCATTCGGCGCGTTCACGTTGTGCTTCGTCAGTAATGTTTCGACCATCATGCCAACTAAAGAGATGGTGAATGCCTATAATACGAGTGGAATTTTGGCGTCTCTTTCCACAGCAGGTGACTCTATTCAACTCACGATGTTCATCAAAGCATTGAACTCTCTCACAGCAAATGCCAACTGGAGTGACATCTCAGACAACTCGTTCAATCAAAAAAACCTAGAAGAGCAACAAGCTATTTTAGCCGAACTATCAGATTCCAAGTCGCGCCAACTTCAATCCCTAAAGAACTCTGCTCCTCCATCCAGCATCGCCGAAGTCAACGTGTTCTCCGATGTTCTGGACAGCGTAGTGTCCGTTGTGTTGGGCAGTCAAGCTGGTTCTATGACAGTTGGATTAGATGCTAGAGAAGATTGCCTTACTTCATTGGAAAAAACCGCGCACTCCTTGCCTGGAATAACCGTTCGTTCAGCTTCCGAGTATGAACAGTTCGTTAAAAGCTCCCTTAACGTAATGACAGCTTTGATGAAAGGTATGAATGCGATTCTCGAAACTCAAGTACTCCTGCCACCCAAAGATATACAGGCTGCTGCCGACGGTGCATTAGACTATGACGGTGCTGTCCCTGATGACCCAAACATGGCAATTCCAGACAATGTTCATGATATTTACAAGCAGAGTATAATGGAAAGTACCAAGAGACAAAGTATTTCTCAGCTTAAGCGAATGAATGCTGTCGTTGAGACCATTAATACCCAAGTTTTATCAAAACTAGTTACAGGCCAAACTTTCACGACACGTTCCGCCTCTGGTACTTCGATTAATATCGCAAAAATCGGAGAAGAAACCTTGAAAAAAGGGAGGACCATTTTGTCTCCAATTGATCAAAATAGTTCAGTCATTCTACCTGAGAACTTTTGCCCTTCAAGCTTCATAAATGAATATTCGGACTGCCTTGAAGAATTCGGATTGATGTTTTTGACGTGGCCTGTTATCACTCACTTTCATCCAGAAACTCGAACTTTATTAGCTAGATACTCTAGCATAATCGAGCTTGTGGTAACCAGCAACGACCTGCGGGTAAACGTCACGAACGCGACTAAACTGATAAATGTGGTAATTCCCCGTGATTCCGATATATATTTGAACCCTCTAATGGTGAATGTTAGCGAGAATATCAACAAAGCCGTTCCCCTGGTATTTCATTACTTCAATATCACTGCTCCGCAAGCTGGCTACATGATCGCTATTCAGCCATCATCAACTGCCGAACGCCTCGTTCTGCTTGTTGCTCATGAAATGTTCCCCGTTCCCGGAAAGTTTCTCTTCAGCGGTTTAGTTGGAGAGTTGCCTTTCATTGCTGATTACCGCACTCTGTTTATCGACTCGGACACGAACAACAACCGAACAGGGCGGTTTGTGGCTGGTATTGGAAAACTTCTCAATAATGCTCACCCGTCAAATTTTACTCGTAAAGACTTGGATGAAAAATTCGCTACGAATTACCGGTTCAAAATCACGATTGTTGGTTGTTACTTCTATGATGAAACACAAACCCAATGGTCAGCCATGGGCTTGAAAGTGCTTGCCGCTAACGCAACCCATACAAAATGCGGTACCAACCATCTTTCCCAGTTTGGATCAGGATTTTTACCGACTGTGAATGAAGTGAATTTTGACTTCTTAACAGCTAATATGGGCTTCATAGATAATTCCACACTATACATAACTCTGATATTACTTTTCGTCTTGTTCATCATTGCAATGATTTGGGGCCATTACAAGGACAAAAAAGATGTTGAAAGGAGAGGTGTTATTGCTTTGCCCGACAACAAACCTGAAGATAAATACATTTATGAAGTTACTTTCGTCACCGGCCCTGATTCGGACGCTCCATGTGAATCTCAAATATATTTCATTGCATCAGGTGATTATGACGAAACAGAAGTACGTTTCCTGCCCAAAGCAAACCCGAATCTCTACCGTCGATACGACAGGAACACATTTGTAATGACAACGTCTAGACCTCTTGGCCCTTTGCACTACCTTAGAGTTTTTCTAGACAATAGAGGCAGGTTGCCGTACGACAGCTGGCAGCTTGAACGGGTTGTGTTCAGAGACCTCCAGAAGTTTGAGCAGTACACCTTCGAAACGAATGCCTGGCTTGCCCTCAATCGCGGTGATGGGTTGGTTGACAGAACATTCTTATGCGCCAATTACAACGAAGATGTTTCTACTTTTTCGCAGAAGATGTACGTCAATGTAAATCGAAACGCTAATCAAGATCATATTTGGATGTCGGTATTCTTGCGTCCAATCGGCTCCCGCTACTGTCGAAAAGAAAGAATCGTTGTGTGCGCGACGTTCCTATTTGTTTCCATGCTTCTCAATGCGATGTTCTATGAGGTGGAAGGAGAGTCTCCAATAGATGCATATGCGTTCGTTGGCCCCGTTCCAATTTCTCTGTCTCAAATGTTCAAAGGCATGATTGCGATCATGCTGTTACTCCCATTTACGTCGCTACTTGGAGCTGTATTCAAACGAGCTCGTCCAAGGAAAAACATTCGTTGTCAAGCTCTAGATGCCATCGAAAAGCAAAGAAAAAAGCAATATATTGCAAAAGGATTGCCAGAAGAAGATGCTACAGAAAAGTCAAAAGTAAGTGAAAAGAATGAAGAAGAACCCAAACCAAAGGTTAAACCTGCATTAAAATGTCTTCCGTGGTGGACGAGGCCACTTGGATGGGTTGCTTGTGCTGTGGCTATGGCAGGGTCCGTGTTCATCGTTTGGAGTTATGGAATTACTTGGGGAGAGATAACAACCGTCAAATGGTTTTCTTCGTTCTTCACTACCTTCTTGGTGTCAATTCTGGTGAGCCAATGGCTGAAGGTGGCGTTTGCTTCGTGCTTGGGCAGCATTTGTTGTTCTCCTAACCACTCTGTTGAGGACATTGACTGCGATGAAAAACTTCCTCAACTAAAGGAAGATGAAACATGGGCTTTCATGAGTCCCTTGGACCCGTCCACCGTGAGGAAGGTTCACAGAGTCATTGGCGCTACCCACGATGTTGACAAGACGAACAAGTTGAGCGTTAAACTCACCAAAAATCGAGACATGAAATTCATCGTTCGAGGGATCATAATTTATTGCGTATTCCTCGCTGTGCTCTTCATAATCGTTAACGACAAGACGGACTACAACGCCTTCCTGCTGCAAGATAATTTCAAAACGGTCTTCATTGACAGGCCATATTTTTCACGCGGGCGCCTGTACGAGGTAACTATAATTAAATTTTCCGTTGTGGTTGAGATTCTATTTCATACCATGTTGGTCTCAGTAACTGCGAGTCTTGTCTATCTCGCTTATTTTGAGCATGCCTTGTATGTTACTGTACACAACAGTTGTTCTGATGTATCTTACTATCGATTAACCCTGCTCCCGTTACATATCTTTTCGATTTGAGGACTCCTAATAGGAAACTTAATTTTAGTTGTCAACGAGTAGATTTGAATATCGTTACTTGGAGATGATGCGTTTGCTGTTCTATCATTCGCACAGAGTATGAAATGTCATTAATTCTTACTCATGATGACATCTTTTAGTATAATTACCCAGAAATAAAGAATTGTAGGGAGTGCTTTTCAAACTCATCGTCGGACATGTGCATATATTTGCTAATTGAACAACCTTGTTTCCTTTTTATCTTACATTATTTCCGCCCGAAAAAAATTGATTTAATTATTTTAAATACTTAACCTTAATTCATCTAATTAAATTATTTGAGTTCGATAAAGCCAATCAATTTGAATACAAAGGCAAATTTGTATTACGAATGAAGTTAAATATTCTCTCATATTTCTATGCTTTTGTTCCTTAGCTGCGCAACACGGACCAGTTTTGGCGCTATGCAAAGTCCACGATTATGAGCTTAACGCGAGCGCAGCGCTGGTACAACGGTAAGACGCCCTATGGCCTACGAGGCTTCTTGGATGACAGGGCCAACCGCATGGTAGGATACCCCATCCTACGGCAGATACGCAACTCCCGCTTCGTCTGCTCGGTACCGTACCCGATGAACGAGACTATTGAAGAATGCACAGGTATGAGGAACCTTCTCTTGGAAGATGACCAGGATTACTGTGCTAGTTGGGTGCTTGATGATCCCTCTAGTGCCTCATGCAAGTACCCTGAGTTCAGGTATCAAACAGCAAGCGAACTAAAAACCTTCACAACTGTGGGTCGACTTGGAACTTATGGAGCTGGTGGATACGTTATCAGACTTAATGGCAATCAAGATGATGTTATTGCGAGGCTAGATCAGCTCCAAAAAGTTCAATGGATTGACAAGCGATCGCGAGCTGTGTTCCTGGAGTTCTCTGTGTACAACGCCAATGTGAACTTATTCATGACGTGTGTGATTTTGTTCGAGATCAACGAAGGTGGTGGGATGATCACAAAATGGAGGTTCGAGCCTGTTCGACTTCTCCGACTTGAGAGTAGCTTAAGCGATAACCTCGTACGTTTTTGCGAGCTTTTGTTCGTCGGGTCAACAGTTTTCTTCACCCTGAGGCAGCTGTGGGAAATAAAGAAACAAAGGTGCGGCTACTTCTTCAAGTACTGGAACATTGCAGAACTCCTTCTGGTGTCGTTTTCTTGGGTGGAAATTGCCTTGTACATTTACAAGATGCTCCTCACTCTCGAAATTGCCGATGAGTTCAATCAAACAAAAGGAAACGCTTATCTGCGAATGGACCAGCCAGTTTTGGTGGACCAATATTATACGTGCATTCTTGGCATTATTATGTTTATATCCTTGCTCAAACTCATTAAACTCATGCAGTTCAACAAAAGGATGGACGTGCTGGCACTCACCATTTCATTGTGTTGGGATGAGCTGTCGTATTTTCTCATTGCTTTTGTAATCATATTCTTCGCATTCAGCTGCCTCTTCTTCTTCATCTTCTTTTTGAATTTACCAGAATTCAGTTCAATTCTCTCTGCTGTCCAGACAAGCTTCTCAATGATGCTCGGTAAATTCGACTTCGATCAAATGCAACAGGCAAACTCGCTGTCACCTCTCCTATTCTTCGTCTTTTCAGTAATGAATAGCATGATTCTTGTCAACATAATGCTTGTTATAATCTTGAAAGCCTTCAACGAAGTCAAAGTGGATCTGAGTAAAAGAGAGAACCCCTACGAGGTCATGGACTACATGTGGGATACTTTCAAGAAGACCCTTGTCCTCCAGCCCAACGAAATCAACCAAGTTCACGTGAATCTGAACATGAGAGATCATGTTGTCAAATATGCTGGTGGTGATGGCGATTTGTCAGACAAGGTATGCATTTCGCAACCAAAAAACACTGATGTATACATTTTGATTTATTGCACCCGTACATGTGAAATACTTTTACGAATAAAATTGTGAACTTTTTGTGGATGGGTCTGTCATAAATTACTTGAATAATATTCCATAGTTTCCCATTCCAGAAAGCGATGAGAAATGGATTGGCATTACGATCCGGTTGTCGTGTTGAGCTAGATAAGCAAGCTGTAACCAACAGTAGTTATGCTTTGGTGTATAACCTTCTCCATCCGCTTGAACCCTAAATTTGTTGAACCCTAGAGCATCCACTTGAACCCTGAATTCGTATCGAACGATATCGTGGAAATTTCTCAATAATAACAATAATTGCTTGCATAATGCGCAGTTGGGGCAGCTGCTGCAGCACGTCAACAACGTTTACTTCGACGGCAAGCTTGACGTCTCTAACTCGCGTGCGATGAAGGCAGCCCTCGGCGCGGACGCTCAGAAGAGGCGGATGCCCGTCTTCCAACACGACGCAAAGCCCAGGACCATCTTCTTCAGCGACTAAAGTCGCACTGACTGGCGATGCAAGAAATTGTGCTTGTTTATTGAATTGTGCCTTTAGGCAGAGATTGGACACTACTTTTGAAAAACAAAAACTTTTAAAAATCATTCCATGTGAGGTTTCAGTCACCCGCATGAAATAAAATTAAATGTGCCCTACTATCGAAATCTTAAGTATGAATTGTCTGAGAAAGATGCGCATCAAATTACCTGAGACGCAATGCGTACAATTCATATTAAGATACAGTATTATTTTAAATGATGAGCCCAAGTTAATAAATTCGTTTTTATTTAACTATAAATTTAAACTGAATAATTTATACATCAATGGAATGAGAAGAATTCCATTTTTTCACACATTTATGAATGTTGAATATGTCCCCCCTATGCTGCACGGTAAACATCTCTAAACGGTAGCCAAACTCTTCCCACACACGAGAAAGTATTTCGTCTGTTACTGAATCTCGGTGGCCAGAAGTGTAGAGCCATGCAGATCTTCATTCCTATGCGTCCTACCCCGCTCAGTAAGTGACTCAGTCAAAAAGTTTCGAACATCAAGATGCCAATGGGGACTTATATTGAACATTTATATATATTCAATAAAAACTTTGAGCCTTTTTCTTTCAATCAGCACATCAATAATTTATTTTGAATTTACACTTAAATAAGTGAGAATTTATCAAATTGGGCCCATCATTTAGAATAACCCTGTATAGGTAAGTTTATTTAAAAATTATATTCATTCTGAAGCACATCGCAACGTTTGCAATCAATGACACCCTAATTATTTGGTTATGTGTGGGATTTTATTAGTATATATTTGTTGTTTTCGTACTACTTTGGGCATTTCCTCTCTCAAAATTATCCTTCTATGCCACTTATAATACAGTCGTTGAACTTATTTAGATTTCTTGGATTTTTATTATAATTCACTTGGATTATTTGATAAAAATTGGTGAAAATACTAAAGAATTTTGGGAACTTGGTGAAATTTATTCATCTACTAGCATAATTTTAGCTTTAATAGGAAGCTATAAGATTGTTTTTAATTTTTACTCAATATTGTTAACACTAACGGTGTCTCACCATCGGTACAATACATTTTCTCGTCACAAATTGAATCTGTTTCTTACGTTGAAGATTCGTGCAATGTGTATCGTACTTTTAGCATTGACTAAGTTTTCAAAATATAGGAATAACTATTCAGGCAATATTGTTGATTTACTAGTTTCTATTGAAAAATTGCCAGTGCTTAAATTAAATTAATAAAATTAATACTTGCAGCTCACTATTACAAGCTATCAACTAGTAATTCATCGTTAGGATGAAATGAATAACCTGATATTTGACTGAAAATTCTAAATTCAAATAGACTTATTGGCTTTCGACTCGACTGGCATTTCACGCATTAAAAAGGATTTTAAAAATTATTTCAACTTAATTTTTTAATCAAAAATATTTATGATGATAAAATAGCCTCTGAATTCACGCCTACAAATTCAAATTATCTGTTTTTGTTGTTTTTTCTTATTCTTCTCTGAACGTACGTGGAAACGTTCTCATTCCTGGTTACCTCACTACAATGGCAACTGCTGAGCTTTTCAATTCGGGTTTCTTAGGGCGCATACAGCTTACCCTAAGAGGGACGTTAAAAATGCCATCCTTCCCCCGCCCATCCCACCTAAGTTTAATGGGAAACTTAATTGGTATTAATTTGAAAATTTCAGTCTAGTAACCGCTCGCTGAGAAAAACCGCATGCAGAAATTTTAATATAAAAAATGTAAAATTGCACCTTCAAGAAAGCTGAAGGCTGAGAAGCAGTCATCACACCGAAAAGATCAATGATCCTTGAGAAAAAGAATCATCATATTTACCGGACGTGTTGCCTCTATAGACTTGCTTCCTACCTCTGATGCCAAGCATCTCTGGCCGACTCTATAGTCCCTCAATAGAAGGATACGCAATATCCTAGCCAACCACATACCGCATTCGACCATTTTCAATTAGCTGCTCAGTCTGCTATTAATCCTTATTTTATCGTTTATTGAAGCTTCGCTAAATTCTGCTTGAGCTCTTCGCTCTAGAAGTGTGCGCATATAGACGATACATTTTTATTGATGTTTAACTTCATATTTATCTCCGCACGCATGTTTTTGAATTATTTGCATTCATGATATTAGCTACATTGCTAACAATATTATAGGTCATTCGTGTGAAAAAATATGTTATCTATTCTTATTTCATGATAAATCTCAAGCTTCAACATTTATTACATTTGTGTGTTTTATATTTTAGAGTGTATATTAGTTTTTCAGTTTTCGATACCTGACACTGTGAATTTATGATAACTATTGCAGTATTGTATGCAAAAAGCTTTATCCTGTCTATTTCTTTAATTTAAAGAAAAAATCCGGCGATGATTTTAAACCGTTTTTTCTTCAGTTAAAATAGTAAAATTTTGCGTGGTTTATGACTGTCATTCATCTTTGAAAAAATTTTGCTTTCTACAAAAATTTCTCTCACATACGCGATGTGGGATAAACTTTAAATGAAAATACCTCTTCTGAACGTAATTTAAATCTATGTAGAAATTCGTCGCAACTTCACGTGATTAGAAGCTCTAACAAATTTGACACAATTTCAATCAAATTAACGAAATTGTGAAGTAGAACTTAGTTGCTCTTATTAGAAAATTCGTTTGGAAATGTGGATTGAGTTTTCATGGCCTTCTGTACAAATTAAGGCCGTTGAATAATTTTAATATGCGCTGCACAATCATCTGCTAAAATTGCTTAATTTCTATGAAATAAGATAGAAGGGACTAAGAAAAAGATGCCTCTTCGACTTTTCATAGTTTGTATCGTCTTTTTCAACTGAAAATGTATGCATAATTAAAAAAAAGCTCATAAGTAATTACCTGGAAATCAAACTAATATGTTTTATATGAAGATATTGACATCGTGAATTTCTCATACATTAACCTAGCTGACAACATCTTGGATTAAAGTTCAACTAAAATAAAGTTCTATGCAACACTCAAATTGTTACAAAGTGCCCCAATCTCCGGTATAATTGTAATGAAATGATGAGAATCGTTGATTAAAAATCAAATAATTTGATAAAACTTGATTGGCAAAAGAATGTATCGTAACGTAACGACCGCGAATACGATATTGGAAAGATTGAATTCAGGCTTGAATTCTATTTGATACATTAGATGTTACAGTGTTACATTGCCATATATCATTCAGACGGTGTAGCGGATTTGCCCAAGATAGATAATCCTGGGGCATATTAAAAATTTCAGTTTACTCCCATAAAATCCAAGACGATAAGCGTAACACATCGGGGATGAAAAAATACTAAATTAAAAATTAATTCAAATTAATCCAAGGCGACAAGCACAACTCTATTTTCAATCCAATTGAATGAAGACTGTATGCTCAACTCTAAATTAATCTCCACTCTAATTAAATCTCCACTCTGATTTAATCTTGTCTCTTATACACATCTATCTGNTTAATCTCCACTCTAATTTAATCTCCACTCTAATTTAATCTCCACACTAATTTAATCTCCACTCTAATTTAATCTCCACTCTAATTTAATCTCCACTCTAATTTAATCTCCACACTAATTTAATCTCCACTCTTATTTAATCCAAGACTCTTATTAATCCAATCTCTCGGCAACAATGAATCATCTTTCCTGAATTCGTGCTTTTCCTCGAATACAAATCCTGTAAATCTAAAAAAACGCGTTGAAGCATCCATTCAAAAACGATTTAATACTCACAAATTTGAGTTTGAAAGATTTTTTCGGTGTTAATAATAATGAACCTTAAACTGAATACAATTTTAATTACCTTTTGTTCCCTTTGTTCCAAATGTGCCTTTTTGTTCCAAATGTGATACCGGGAAGTATCCAACATATCACAAATTTTTCTGAAACCAAGTGAAAGTAAAGTAAGAAGAGTAAAACGAGCTCATCTCAATCACTACATAATTATTAAATTATTAGGCCTGATGTTTATCGGACTTATTCTTCGATCGTTCAAATGCGCCCTGAAATTAATCCGCTTGCAATTACCTACTCGGTTAGTAGGTATAGTATGGCTTGACTATCTATTCCTGTTATCTACGTTAATATCTATTCTTGTTCGTGTAAATTTTGTGTGCAACTTTGAACCTTAATTCTTATTACTTGCTCGGTAACAGCTTTGCTTAAAGGAATGCTTTGAATCTTCGGACTTTATGAGACATGTTCATTCACTTTCTTAGAAAAAAATCGTTACAAGGTTTTTAACAATTCATAAAGAATTTATGGTAAAATTTCCATTCTTTGTTGAAGAACCAACCGACAATTTGAGTAATTTATAAATGATTCAGAATGCTATTATATTTTAAGTCTATATAAGCCTTATTAATAAACGCACTTCTTTGGTTTTACTCTTACTCTCAGCTACAGAAGTCTGCAGTTGACTTGCAGAATGCTCACAGCTCTCACCTGGACGAAACTTTGAGCCCACTACCATCATTTAAAGCAGGGATGAACGAAAAAAATGCAACTGCAGATTTTATTACGCTATTTGAAAGTTAAATCGATAACATTTGATTTCAAAATGGCTTGTTTTGTCTTTTTCAGCTGTTCAGTGAATAGGCGCGTGACAAACAGAAGTACAGTTATTCTCATTGTTGATGTTATCATAACAATAAACCTGATTCCTGCTGATCGTGTGACAATAAATTTAGAATTTTAAGGCGATTGAAGGAATAAATTTTCGTAACATATGCGTGTAAGACATGAGCCTAGACATTCGGGCATGTTGAGCTAATGCGATTCTACATGATGATACATGCTGCACAAGTTTAATGAAATATTGAATCGTAAACATCTAATTTATATCGAAATTATTTTGAGATCACTTGAAAGATTCAAATACTAAAATTTATAAGATCAAAATAATTGATAATTTAAACAATGTGGAGAGAAACTCATAGAAGACACACTATTTTAGTTTTCAAGATATTCTCCCTATGCATTAAATCAAGACTATGCTCATTCATTTAAATTATGATACAAAGTAAAAACTACCAATAATCGATTTATTCTCATGCTCGAGTCGACTCATTGACAAATCGCGTGAGAAATTCATTTTCCTAATTGAATGACGATTTTAAACATCTACAACTACCGTTTTAGGCTCTATTTATGTAAATTTTTTCAAAATTGCCTGAATAAAATAAGAACTATGGCATCAAAATATAAATTTGCGAAATGTGATCTCAAACATACTATGACCATCTAAATTTCAATTTAACTTTCACAAATTATACATCAAATTCTTATGTTTTGTTAATTTGAATTAGTAATACCCCATTTTAGTATCTTAAATGCTTTCTTTTCATTCCAAACTCATGAAGACATTCAAAAATT